AACCGACCTTAACTCCCCTCAATGCTACTGAAAATGACACCACTCACTTTACCGACCTCTCTTATACAAAGCCGAGGTCTTGTTTGCAGCATTTTTGTTGCAAAGACAGAACTTTACTGACTTCACATCAATTTTCAGAATTCTTTTTGTTTGCTCATATGTTTTTTGTTGTTTTTTAGAGACAAGGTCTTGCTATGTAACCCTTGCTTAGCTTCAGTATTTAGAACTCTGTATGTAGAACTGGCTGCCTGAATTCATGGAGATCTGCCTGCCTCTACCTCCACAGTTCTGGGATTATTGTGGTGCACCACCAGGGCAAGCTCACAATGGATTTTGTAATAGCATCAGGAGGACTGAGGCTTTAGTATCAATTCTTTAAAAAAATAAAAAAAAATAACAAACCTGAACAAGGATCCCTGCTTATATGTTAATATTCCAGAAAGTGAACAACACTCACTTATAAAGTGCAACCACAAAATCAGAATATTAAATCAAGAACTAAACCATGCAACATTTAAACCTAAATTAATAATTTTAATATATATCTGTTGAGATACAAATTGCTTCCATGTAAGGGATATCTGAAGGTTGAAGATGCAGCTCAAGGGTACCATGCTCACTTCACCCATGCCAGGCCCTGGGTTGGATCCCAGCATAGGAACAAACAAATAAACAGCACAAAACATCGAGAGAACTATCACTTGTCTTTAAGCCTAGGCCACGAGTGTGGGACATGCTCTGAGAAAGCATGTTCCTTGTTTTATAAAGTGAGTGTGTAACAGGCATGCGTTTCTCACCGGGATACTCATCACTTGATTTTTACCTACTAATTTTTTTAGGATAACAAACATGATACACATTATAATAAAATTATAGAAATGTCTGATAAGAATTAACACCTTCCAAAATCCTATAGCAGGTGTAGGGGCTCACATCTATAATCTTAGCTCTTGGGAAGCATTGTTTTCCATCGTGTGGGTGGGACAGCCTAGGCTACCTTAGAACTTTCCTCAAAAAATTAATATGCAATTCACTAACATAGAATTTTCCAATTATTATTTTTTAATTAAATAATTGAAAATGAGTGTTTTTTAACAGCAAATGGGCCAAATGAAGATTAGGTTGTCCTTATATGTCCTTTCTTCAGCCCTCATGCATTGATTACAACATGCATGTACTGTACCCACGCTTACTTGAATGTAACATTCATGTACATATATTTACCCTTACATGATGTTCTTGTGGGTCTGATTTTTTAGGCATAAATTTTGAAATTCTTGCAGGTTAAGACATTTCTTAGGAGCTACAGTTCTCCTTACTATCTAACCTGTAATACAGACCCCAGGGAATGTTTTATCTGAACTTCCATCCTCCTAGCCATCCCCAGCTCACCCCTCACTTACCTGGGAGAAGGAATAAGAGGCCTGATATGAGGACTTGAGGATACATCATGATGTTGACCTAAAGGACAATGACAAGACACTCTGGTTGGCTGTCATTCACCACACTGTATCTGAGAAGTTCTCTCATCCTGAATGTATGAACCATACAGGCCTCTCTGCTAGGGCCCCCTGTCTTCCCAAACAGCCTCTTCTTCCTGGTCTGTCCACACATATAGACATCAACCTCACTCCTGGTCTTGGCACAAATAAGATGGAAAACAGAGAAAATTTGAAGGCAGAGACAAGAGTGTGATTCGTTTGTAGAACCCTAAGCAAGGACCAACCTTCTAATGGCAGTATACTTGCCCTCTAGTGGACTCAGGCTGTTCCTGTTCAGTAACTGGAGAGATTGGTTCCTAAGCCTCAATCAAGTTCATTATTAGCAAGATGGACTGAGAAGAATGGAGGTGTTGTGTCTAAACACATTGTCCCATACAGGCCAAAGACCAGGCTTTTGGAGTTTTTCATTTTAGTTCCACTGTAACCACTAACAGACTGGGGCTGAGGGAGTATGAACAAACACTATTTTCACTAAACATTAATGTTAGGCTGCTGCGATGACTCATGGTTAAGAGTGTCCACTGCTCTGTTACGATAAACGTTACAATAAATCTTTCTGCCAAAAGCTGCTGAGCCCCACTGCCACGTGTAAGCTTTACGCCAGCCACCTGCCCAAGTTAGGCCCAAATGAATACACAAAGAGACTTGTATTAGTTACAATGCTGCTTGGCCAATGACTAGGATTCTCATCTGTTAGCTCAGTATCAATTATCATACATCTATATATTTTATAAGACTTATCTTATCAGACGCCTTATTGGCGTCCCTCCTAGCTGGTGGATCACATCGTGCCGCTGGAGCAGGAGCCGAGGGGAAAGAGAGCGACACTTCCTTTTTCCTCTTCTTAAATATGAGTCTCCTTGCTATGTCACTTCCTGTCTGGAACACCATTTCTCTACTACATTTCCCAGAATCCTCTTTGACTCCTAGTCCAGCCTAACCTGCTGTCACATTGGCCAAGCAAGTACTTTATTTATAAACATACGCAGAAGTATTTCCCCCATCACTCCTACCTCTCTGCAACTGGATTCCAGAGTTCATCTCAGTGGTTAGCTGTGGGTGTCTGTGTCTGCTTCCATCAGCTACTGGATGAAGGCACTAGGATGGCATATAAGGTAGTCATCAATCTCATTATTAGAGAAGGGCTTTTACTGTAGCCTGTCAACTACTACTTAGATTGTTAGTTGGGGTCAATCTTGTAGGTCCCTGGGCATTTCCCTAGTGCCAGAATTTTCTTTAAACCTATAATGGCTCC